CTGTTGAAGAGCAACATAGACAGTCTACACTTCCCTAAGTGTTTCCTACCAGTAACCAATGAATCCATGAATTGGCCATTTCTCCTAATGTAACAACTCCTTACGACTTAATTACTTAATTGTCGTTCAGATAATATTGCTGGTCTTGGAAGATAGTGATATAACATGCATAACACATATGTGAGCTACTCTAATGCATGGAGGTACACTTCGTCGAATTAATGTAACGCTGCTTATTGTGTTGCTCCAGCTGACATGAGAAACTGAACGAAAGACCCGAGGTAAAATAAACTGTGTCTTCTAGCTTCAGCAAGCATATTTCACAGCTGTAAATTAGAAAAGCACAAAGTTTTACGAAGTACAAAAGTCCTTACATGGGTAACCACGTATCCTGTAGGCGTTAAAGATAATACAACTCATAAAGTGACGAATTAAACCGTTTTCTTAGTAAGATAACATCAAAAAAGGAGTTCATATAGTTCATATGACAAAATCAGAACGCAGTAGGGATTTGTGATCAATGCTAACTTGTTTATTCCAAACATGAAATCTATTAGGTGTTGAACCTGTCACTTACGAATTACACAATTAAAGATGAAAATTCACAAGTGTTCTCTATGGAAACCTGGTATATTCAGATGGTAATATGTGCCCTGCTTGATAAAATAAATCGTCAACTAAGAAGGTAAATAAAACAGCAAAACGGTAATATACTACTGATCGACATGAGTAGCTGGAAACCAATCACATTAAACAATAGTGCTTACTAGTCTGATCTTACTACACAAGATGTTTATATAACCGAAGGTACTTGAAGCTCAAATTATATTTATTGCTTTAATTACATCTATAAGCTTAGCTATATTACAGCTGTAACAGTAAACATAATATTTACATAGTTTAACATTGAATTCGACTTGAAGAACTTGTAGAGTATCAACCATCCAAGTCGCTTAAACCGAGAAATTTCAAGTGTCGATTTGAAGGGATTTGACTGATTTCAGTTTTGATCATGAAATAGCTTCAGTTAGAGAATCACTGTAAACCAGAAAGTGCTGGATAACTGTTTCGTCCTAGTTTGTGACTCTTCAGCAGTACACAACCATGAAACTACCAATAGAGATCGAACTCAGGACATTCAAGTTACAAGGCGAACTCGTACACCATTCAGTCACTGGGATGGAATCTAATCCATCATTTTTAACTTCTACCAACTCGCTATTTAGCCCAATTGTCAGCCATTGTCATCGGTGAGTATCTGTCCTGATAGGTCGCGCTGATCACGACTTTCGACTAGAACTCCAGATAACTTCGTACTATAGTCAGTAACTAGTAAGCTCTAGGTTAATTCTCAAGTGTCAGTTTTTAGGGTTCGACCTCTAGTGGGGTCATGAGTAAGCAGTGATGAAGAGTCCCAAGCAAGGATGAAGTAGCTATCCAGCATTCCATGATTTGCAATGCTTATCTAACTTAAGTAAATTGAAATAAACCAAGAACGTTATTGCTATTATTATCAAGTCTTTGAATTTCTCCAGTTGATAAGATCCTACAAAGAATAACTCATTCTATATCCCACATCTAACTACTCATGAGAAGAAGCAACCTAATATCTAACTTTAAATTATCAGGACTAAATTTTCCGCTATTAGTATTTATCCCCTATATGAGAACTGCAAAGTTTTGTCCTCTGTACAACAAAGTGAAACACGTTCCAGCAAAAGACGAATAAATGGAGGAAACCATCATCTTCAGCACAGTTGTCTGCATTACAACTTACTATACTACCATTCTATACCATTTCTTGCAGTTAACACTAGCATTTAGTCAAGGTTTAGCCATAGCAGCCACCCCTATTGACTTTACCATAGGCTTTGAGCAACTAATCAGAAATAAGGAGCAACAAAAATCACAAAAACTGTTGAACAGATAACAATAGATCATGGTGCTCTCAGAATCGTCATAATATTTCTGTTGTTCCCAGTCCTGTCAAGTTTCTTACTCATGCATGTTTTAGTAACTCAGATTAGTCTATTATTCGCGCAATAATCAAACGCTTGATCTTTTTGAAACCCCTTGAGCAAGTTAACAACAGAAGGTATCATTTGAATTACTTATACCATATATAACCTTGAGGTCCACGGTTCGATTCCTTGTGATCGGATCATGGGTGCGTACTAATGGGGAGTCCCAAAAAGGACGAAACAGTTGTTCAGTACTCCCAGATGGTTTTCAATGGTTCCTCTTTAATTGAAGTGATTTCAAGGTCAAAACTGAAATCAATCAAATCCCTGCAAACCAACACTTGGAAATGTAACTCTAGTTACTATGCTCCTCGGTGGTTGCTATAGTTTAACCCCAGTGCTTGAATGTAACTTATAACTTTCAAACTTCAATGATATAGCAATACGCAATATTGTCATGATCTTAAGTAGAATCTGCTCGAAGGAATAATGTTTACAAATGTGAGTTCCCTTGGTTACAAAGTTTATACGAAACTAAAGTTGTTTTTTTCAATAGACCATCATCCTCAGATCGAATCAGCTCAAGTGATATCATATCTTCTCAATCAGGCGTTGACTAGCTTACCTACAAAATATACTGCAATATACTATAGTTAGCAGTTCAAAAGGAGCCAAGCAGTTAACTCATAGTCCTTTATTTGAATGGCTTAGCAACATGCTGTATGTCTCCAACAGCTGTGTCAAACCATAATGATCTGGTGGAAAAAAATATTGTTATCATCATGTTGCAGAATGATGTTACATCTGCATCTAAGTGATTTCATACTTTAAAATATGTATCTGAAAATAGGTTTGATATTATATTATTTTATACTTGTAGCTGTAAGTAGTGGAAGAGCATGAAAGATCTCAAGAAGTAACATAAGTATAAAGAATCAGAAGAAGGTCTAGTGAAGCAGACAGAGTTTCCTTAAAACTACTCCATAACACTCTTGTGCTTCTGATGCAGCCTGGTTTGGCAACACTAGAAACAAAAATCTGGATGCTGAGGTAACTCAGTTGTACCAGTGGTTCGGTGATAGAATTCTCTCTAACTAGGCCTCACGTGTTACGGGGTTCGACTCCTAGCTTAGTCTCTGGTAGTAAGCCCGGTAAGGAAGGTTGGTTCGGCATGAGGCTAGCAAACTTTCACCGTAGAAAAACAATAACACTACTGCTACTGAAGCTTCTAAGTGCAAAACTTGAAACCCTATATTCCACTCAGAACGTAAAGGGACAAAACAATCAATAAATAAAGTGTCTAAACCTACTCTGCTATTATAATTACTTGACTAAATGGACAGAATGATGGTCAAAACATCACTAGTTGAAATGTCATAGTGTTTAGATGGATTTCAATCTGTTTAAAATGGTTCAGATAGTAGAAAAACTAAAAGATATCCAATTCAGCTTACCATCCTTATTCATTTTGAATTAATTTTATTCGCCCTTCAAGTTACATAGGTCATGAAGCAGTCTAGTCGCAAGTGATAGCCTTCCTGAATAGCCTATTTTTTAAATACTTTAAAGCAATATACTATTGATTGGTTGAGACTGATTTCCAGCTAGCTAGAAATCAGGTGTTTTGAACAGATTTGGCTCTATGATCTGAGTAAAAGCTGTTACGCCAATGATCAGCTCGGCTGCAAACGACTAAAATTGCCGTCAGGTGTTCAGATCACTGAGATTTGGTTAGCAAACACTACTGGTTGGTGGAAGTAGTCTCAGAGGAATCCTATCAATCAGTAGTATATAGATATTTGCATCTACTCTTGGTTTCTTGATAATCATCTATAGTATCAAGGAAATCACATATCGTGATCTGAATAATCTTTGATTCCAAAGGAAACTAGGATGAAACAGTCACCTCGAACTGTGTAAATTGAGAAACAATTTACAAATCATGAATTCTATTGTTTAAATATCAAATTACTTTAGCTAATATGCTAATATGTCTGTAGAAGAACAAATATCCAACTTAACATAACTGTTACACATAAGATACGCTTTTAACGCCTATTACATTATGGTAAGCGGTATCAGCCTTAGTGGGAGACAAATGTTCTGTTGGATTATGAAAACTAATGATATAATTTCAAAAGTAATTTACATCAGAATATTGATTTAGTTAGAGGATCATTTAAAAACTGAAGAATACTCAGTTGCTTCTTTACCTCATCAATGGACACACTGATCGTCTTGAATAAATCAGTAAAGTTCATATCTAATAATTATGTGCCACTTGGTATTTCCTCGTTTTCAATAATTCTCTTTCTCTCTCTCTCTCTGATTCTATTTTGTATCTTGAAGTCAATCAGTCTTACTTAAGGATCTCTTAGCCTTGAACAGGATCCCATTACAACATGCATTCGCATGCGTAAAAGGTTATTGAGCATATTGTTGACAGACGGTTGCAGGCAGTCGGCAGAAAGCCTTGAACCTAGGTTTCACGCCTGTTGTCACTTATCAGCGAAACGTATCTGCAATCATTGCAGAACTGTAATGGATACACTCCTAGAGGAAGTCAATGAAGAGCCCGAATAGCTCAATGGTAACGTCTCTGAAGAGACATACATTTCTTCAGGACTGCAGATACACCAACTGTTTGGAGAATGGCAACAAAACTTCCTACTGATTGCCTCCAACTATCTAATAATAACAATTTAGAGGTCACAATGATGGTAAACCACGTAGCATGTCAGCCACACTGGGAACTTGACTGACAATAAAATTCAGTCTGCACCAAGAGAAAGGACTACATACACCCGTATCCAATAAAAGTCTATTGAGTCGATATTAAGTATCCCTTCAAAGAATAATAATAATAACCATTTTAAAAGGTTAACTATTACAATAATAAAAATTACAACGAAACAAATGAATACTTCACACATTTCACACATATTTATTCAATATCCAAGATATTTCAATGAAATTATACCACAGTGTAGATGTAATGATTAGATTAAAGAAAGATTAACTCGTTAAACATTCACCTACCTATACCTCCAAATGATGATGATGGTGGTGATGTCGATGTTGATGCTAAAGATGGCGATGGAGATGTTGAGCATGAAGATGAAGAGGATATAATACCAGAATTATTTTCAACATTCATATTTGTCAATTTATCACTTTCAACTTTTTCATAAAACATTCTTACTAAAATATATAAATATGTTTTTGTCTTTCTCAACTAATCCGTAATGACTTAAAGAAACAAATACATTTTGGGATAAATGACCTTCTTCATTGAAGATTATCTACAACAAAATATCTATCGACATGTGTATAATTTGACGGGATTTACACACTTTATTTATCACTTGTCTATCAGACATTTGTATGTATGCGTGCGTGTATCACATATATATATTCACCTCTAGTACAACACATCCAATACATGTATTTACACACAATTGACAGTATTAACCAATCAAAATGCTCAATTCGGATTCAATATTACACTCAGTCAGTCACATTTTAGGATGACTCAGACAATATATTGCATTTGTTTGCTTTGATATATTACAAACTGTATGTGTGTCTACTCATAGTTCGTATTTTAAATTAAGGCTTAACAATATAACTTTGAATTGGTCAATAATAAATAATAATAACAACAATGAATGGTATTTGTCTGTGTGAGTTTGTGTTTGTAATATATGAGTTATCTGGTATTAATTAATATGATTAGAATAATATTAATTAATTAATTAATTAAATAACAACCATCAACCAACGGCCACAATAATAGTATTATTAATACTAACAGTAATAATAACAATATTGACTTATTGATTGACTTTATGTCAAATATCTAGGTCATGCGACAGAATCATACTCCGTTAGACATTATACATTTATATATAAACGAAAACATTACAGATTCAAACAAGTTTAGACCAATACATTACGGAAATTGAACAGTTTAAGCAACAACGAAATTAGTGCAAATAACACCTGCATGATTTTAGTATACCTTAGTATTCCTTTGGGAATAAATATACGTCATTCATCATCTATTTTTGTAAGGAAAAAATCACAGTTTTTCTAGTGAAATTCACTCTATTCTAGTAACTATTATTTTTTCATGTTGCAAGTATCATATTATTTACATTTTGACATTATTATCAGACAAGGTATATTTAAAGTGTCTGTCTTAGTCTGTATCAGTCAATCCATGAAGTTATTGATTGAAGGTTCTGGGGATCATACAAAGAGGCAGTGAGTTCTTTTGTGACAAGGTTTGCGATATAGCTCAAAATTTTCCTCACTTAGATAACTATAAATTATAGCAGCCCAAAAGGATACCACCTAATACAGACCTTGAGTCCGAAGTAAAAGTGCGTGATTTGAAAAAACCATCTATACAAAATAATGTAATGTTAAAAAATAGTCACATCTGATACTTTCTTGTATATGTACCAAGGAAAGCTCCCAGTTCCCCATTGGAGTCCTCATAGATGGATAGGCTGACGATTCTAAGCTGGAAAATCGTCAAGTGGTCCATCCTCTGACTCTCGACTCTCAGCACCTTCCAGCAGACACAGTTTCCTAATATCTCGCACCAACATGCCACCACTGATCTGGTCCTCGGGGTGTTGTTTGCTTCATGTCACTCTGGCATAATCCCCCTCCCCGGCGTATCAAATCGCGTACAATGACTCTAACACCACTCGATGGAATTTATGTGAATCCCATTGAGAGTGCTAACAAAATCGCTTGTATGTTTGACCACAATATGAGCATAACCCAGGTATGACATTTCGCTGTAGTTTATTATTATTATTATTACTATTTCCTTGGGTTCTGAGTAGAACATAGGGATTCACCAGAAAATCAGCATTTCATTCTCTTTCTCTGCACTCTTTTTCAGCTGGTTCCACAACTGCCCATAAGCTTTCATCTTCCCCTTCCTCCTCCTCCTCAAATTATCTTCTCCATGTTACCCACGTCTAAATGGTCGCTTCTCATGCGTGTTCCGTTAGAACGCCTCCTGCATAGTGTCTGATGCCTCGGCTATCTCCTCAATGTGTGTTTGATACATCTCCATTATTCTCTGACGTAATTCTTGGGCAAAAGGTTAGTTCTTAATTGATTTGTGCCCAGCCGCCCAACTGGTCTTCAGCATCGAGCTAGGTCATGTGTTGTTATATCAGTCAATTAGTTCATTTCAGTCTCTAAAAAATTATTATTTAGTCATGTTTATGATTTTAGTTCATATATCAGGCAACACTGACCAGCTTCAGTTCAGTTAGTGTTGTACAGACTACTTGAATGGTTATCTCAATATTGATAGGATTCGGAATTTGAAATTACTTGTTTGGTGCATTTCGCTTTATTTGGGACTCATCATCTGCAGGTACTCGCTAAATAGTGAGTGAACTCAAAGTTATTTTTCGCCGCTGCGCAAGGTCTCTCTCAGTCTCTGGGTTCAGTATATAACACTTTGGCATTCGAAGCAATGGGTCCTGGGTTTGAGCCTCAGTGGGAGACACTATCGCTTACTGTGGAGGAAATCACATCCAGCTGACGAGGCCTTGGTAAAACGAAAAATGTATCTTGGATCAGAAATTGACAGTGAAAACATTGTAATGTCTGGTGGTATTAACCTTAACCTTTTCATGTATGCTAACACCCGTTAGTACAATGTCGGGAGGAAAGAAAGTGATGCTCCATTCATAAATGCTAATCACTTGAAGGATTTATTGAATTTTGAAGATTTTATTGTAGATGTCATCACAAACCAACATCAATTAGAAGTTACTGAAAACTAGGGGCAGTGGACAGTAGTTTTCTTCTGGTTTAGGGCTTTCTAGTAGAGCTCATTCATAACCCCACCAGTGATCGAACCAGGTACCTTCAGATTACCAAATCAAGCTTGCTGATCATTTAGCCAGTTGGGTTGGTATTCAATGACTCGTGAAGAGTTAGAAGCCCCTCTAGTATATGAAGAAAAAAAGAAAAATACAAGTGGATACTAGTGTACACAGATGGCACTAGAGTTTAAAAGTAGATATTTAGACTTTAATTCATCTCATATATTATATGTAAAGTTAGGCTTAGTTAAGTGTCTAACAAACCAGGCAATAAGTATCATCAGTGCATCACAAAACCTAAATGACGAAATGAAACAGAGAGGAGAAACATTAGTGCTAAACAAACATCCTAAAAAACTCACTAAGAGGTTCACAAAACCTCACAAGAAAAGGGAAAACAATACTGAAACTATTGATGATAACATAAGGTAGAATTTAAGGTATCTAGAGTTTTTTGTCATGTACAAGTGTAACAACAAAAGACAAGGGCCAGGCAACATATCGTTTATTAAGGAAAACCAACACATATTTATAGATTTTAATGTACATTATTGTAGATTATTGTTAGTAGAAAATACAGTCTTTTGATTGGTTGTTTCTCACAGAAAGTTAACCTTGCATCTCTTTGTGGCTGTGTCAGATCATCCATATGCTAACTGTACCCGCCTACGCAAAGCCTTTGTTCTCATTTTCTCACCACCAATATCGGGGACATAAACATTGACGTCAATAACTGTCCACCAACTTTGGCTAGCAGCCAGCTCTCACTACACAAGGAGAAGACATCTGAAACCCTACATAGGGATCCTAACAGGGTAGGAATTGCATTGCTATTTAGACCTACAAATTTACTCAGGGACAAGCTCTTTGGGTTAAAAGACCCCAATTAGACAAAATACCTTGCAATGGCTGTGACGTCAACTACACAGGTCAGAACAGTAGATCGAGGGTAATCAGATTATCAGAACATACGAATTTTGTTAAGTGCAGAACGACTCATCATTAACACACAATTACACAATAGAGCGGGGCATAGCTCCAGTTCTAAAAAGCAGAGGAGGAAGAGGCTGATAACTGATTCTGTGTTCACCCAATCTACCCATAACATCTGCAACAGGAATGACTCAGTGCCAGTGGAAACGATTACTACCAATAAAATCACCGGATAAGAAATAGTAGAATTAAATAAGCGAAGTTGGAAAGTTATGTTGATGCCTTGAGACAATGATTATGAGCCGTAAATTGTACTCAAAACGTCATCAGTAAATAATACTGTATCACTGAATGTGTGTTTTCATCAGGAGAACTAAGTTTATGATGGAATTATCTAATATAAGCATAAGGTGAGAGTTCAACGTTCATTAAATCGTTTCTCATTCTTCTTCCGAATTTCAGTTGCGTCATGTAACACAGTTTCTCTGCTAAACCTTGATATCTAGTATTTTGTTTTAACTATTAGCATATATATATATATATATAATTTTTAATACATTTATTGAGCGTTTAAGTCTCTTTAGCAGTTTGATTGGTTGTGTAATGTAGGGTCCTTAGCCTCACACCCGACTCTCACTCCTTACCTGGTCTTTGAACCGGCTGGAAAACTAGTGGGCTAGTAAACTAGGTGATTGCTCAACGAATATGCAGCTGAAAATGGAGACGGATCGGGTATACATTGAGGAGGCCATCGAATGACATTGCGCGCCAGGCCCTCGAGGGGAATCTGAATGAGAATCGACGACTAGATGGTGAGTGCGAGGGTGATATGGAGGAGATCGTGCGAGTTGGAGGAGATGAAAGATTATGGGCAATCTTGTGGCTAGCCGGCTGAAGAGGACGACAGAAAATAGAACAAAGTGGAAATGTGTTGTTCAAGCCCTATGTTCCACTCGGAACCCAAGGAAATAATATATATATTTTTTTCAGTCATTTCTTTTTCTACGGATTAAAACAAAAGTATTCTATAAATAATTATCATTTTTCTAAACTTTAAAATAAATTTGATTGGTCAAAAAGATTAATATTTTTTCTAAATAAAATATTATTAGTTAGACTACTATTTGTGTTAAAGAGAAAAGAACAAGAAGTTCAACAAAGATATTTTTTAGGCGATTTCATTCTTAAAATAAGCTATACAATTGCATTTACACACATAGATTTAGACAGGTACAATTATCACATAATTCAACATAGTAACAAAGGGAGGAGATTAATTATGATAATAATTTTCAACTTGATATAAAAGTTTGATGGCGTGAATATAGATTACAAGGGGTTTAGAAATAAAATTACACAGAATTAGAAAATAGTTTTTTTTTATAACAAATGTAGGTGTGAACGGGATGAGCATTGACACAAACGCAAATAATAGTTTTTTTTTAATAATTGCACATGAAATAAATTAAGGCGACGGAAAAACAAACAAAAGAAATTTAAGGTGTCTAATCGAATTAGATCCATGTTAAATTTAGAGCTACAAATAGTTTCTTTTGAAAAAATAGCGCTGAGTTTACGAT